TATATATATATATATATATATGTATGTTTAAAGATTTGTAATCCAGGCATATTATAATTAATTAAAGTTCTCCGGATTGAAATATACTTTTATTGAGCTTTCGACTCGGTACTTCGAGCCTTCTTCAGAATGAAGAAGGCTCGAAGAAGGCTCGAAGAAGAATTCTGAAGAAGGCTCGAAGTACCGAGTCGATCGAAAGCTCAATAAAAGTATATTTCAATCCGGAGAACTTTAATTAATTATATATATATATATATATATATATATATATATATATATATATATATATATATATATATATATATATATATATATATATATATAATTAATTAAAGTTCTCCGGATTGAAATATACTTTTATTGAGCTTTCGACTCGGTACTTCGAGCCTTCTTCAGAATACTGAGATTAAAATTACATATGTACATTATTTAATTAAAGTTTAATTGCGGTGTTGCTACGTCCTTGTATACGTCGAGACCGTCTAATTGGCTGTTCCGCGGTTGATCTGATCTCATTGCTGGTTGCAGAATGCGTTGTCATGGTTGAGCGAATTCTTCTGCTAGGGATGGCGTCATTGGAATGTTTGGATTGTTGTGTGGCGGATGTTGAAGGAAGTGTTATTTGGAAGTTAGTATTAGTCATAGTATCGTTGTTATTAGTAGCTACGACATTTACGTGTTGTTTTAAGTTGTAAGTAAATAGTGGGAATTTCAACGTGTCGGTTAATTGTATTACCGTCTATACTGTACCATGCCTCTTTAAATTCACGTGCGTGTTTTGTTTGTGCTCGTCCTAATAGTTCCGTTTCTGTCCAGTTGAAGGTATGGCAGTTGTCGTATGTGTGTGCTGCAGGTAGTGATTTATAATCGTATCGTTTTATGGCGTTTTTGTGTTCAGTTATTCGTGTTTCAACTTTTTTCGAGGTTTGACCTATGTATCGTTGTGGACAGTCTCTGCAAGGTATCATGTATATAGCATTTTTTTGTTTGTACGTTTTGATGCTGTTTTGTCTTTGTGTTTTGTGAAATATGATCTAAGTTTATGTGCTGGTTTGTGTGCTACGTCAATGTTGAAAGGTTGCAATAATCTGGCGGTCATTTCAGATGTACTGTTTATGTAAGGTAGAGTTATTCTTGTCCTTGATTGTTCAGGTTGTTTGTCAGGTATGTTACTCTGTTCTTTGTTACGTACTTTTGTTAGTATTTTGTTAATGAATTTCCAGTTCGACACTTTTTCATTTTGGTGGTCTTCCAGGCTTGCCAATGGTGCCATCCGAAGAGGCACCTTTATTCACTAAAACTAGTGAATCAGCCAACTCGAGGAAAAATTTCAGGAGGGATTTCTCATTCTTCTTCGGAATGCCTTGCTCAACACAATGACGACGGTACAAGACCCATGCATTGACTTTGCATATGTCTATGCAGTGCGAAATACTTTGAAATACCATCGACGGGTTTTCACAACAATACGGTATAGTGCAAGAAACGTGTCCGCAAGGTCAACGCCCCTCATTCCACCGTTGTATAATTTTACAACTTGTGGGTATGGGATATGTACCCGTTTCTTCTCTTGTGAACTCCATCTCTCAACAGCAGCCATGGGCTGAACACCAACAAAATTGGACACCAGGTGGACTGGACCATTGTCAAACCATTTGACAATGATAATTCCAGAATTGGAATCTGAGCGGTAGTCACGACTACCACGACCACAGCACTCTTCAGCTCTTTTTTGCTCTTCAGTGGACATTTTTGAAGACGATTCGATCTGAACGTGCCACATGCAAGTATACCCTGTTGCTGCAAATACAGGATCAGATCAAGAGTGGAAAACCAGTTATCAAGGAAAAGCTTGTGACCAGCGTTAGAAGGAAATGCTTCACACAGCTTGACAACAACCATGGATGATTTCTGCAATTGTGTGCCATTCTCATTCACCTCAGCTGCCCCATTTTTAACGGTATATATGTAAAAGTGATGCATAAATCCCGAGGAACCAGCACAAACCAAATTCTTGAAACCCCGCTTCACCGGCTTCTTTGGATTGTATTGCCGTATCTTACTATACTTTGTTTTTGAAGGGATTATCTGTTCGTCTACAGAATGATTCTCCTCTGGTTCCACCTTTCTACAATTTGCTGCAACCTTCTCAACAATACACCGCAGTATGCTAATCATAAGTCATGTTGTCAAGGAAATGTAAGAATCGTTGCAGCTTTTCGAACCTTTTTCTTAGCATTATGTCTGCTATTAATGGGTACCGCAACTCATTTGACCAACCAATAGTGGTTGTATGATGGCAGGTTAACAACTCCCATTTTCATCTGCATTCCAATGAAATGTAGTGTTCACACTAACTCCACTTTTCTGAACGCTGTAATAATAATAATAATATTTTATTTTCACACAAATTGCTACACTATATTGGTAAAGCCGAAGCCATAGGCTTATTTGGCAAAACTATTTAAGAGTATAGCTCGTGGTCAGTACAGAGAATTAAGTATGACTTATTCCAACTGAGTATATAATAAAAAAAGAAAAAAAAACCCAACCGGAAAAAGCATTTAAATTAGTATAGATAATTCATGCTTTATAGAAAGCAGTATATGCAGCATATATACAGCCAAATTTCAGTCCTTTTTATCCCAGAGCCATTCCACATGCACATGTCAACCATTCTGAAAAGTTAAATAGTAGTTCTTTAGAATACGTCTAAAATTTTGAGTTGTCAATGATTGCCGAATTAAAAGAGGGATAGAATTCCAATTTTTCGGGCCTTGCGCACGAATGGAAAAAGAATATTTATGGGAAATGATATGCAAATCCTGTCTATGCCTTGTAAAATGATCATGGATGTTATAATTGAACTCAAATAAGCAAGAAATGGGTGAAGGAAGGAGATTGTTAACGTGTCTAAAAATAAAACACGAAAGTTGAAATTCATAAATCTGAAAGACAGTGAGGATATTTAATTCCTTAAAGAGTGGTTTGGAAGGAGTGAGAGGGGGAGAATGTGTAATAATTCTCATGATTTTTTTTTGACATCGAAGTAAAGGATGAAGATGTGTTGTGTAAGATGATCCCCAGATAATAGTGCAGTACTGTAAATAAGGCAAGATTAAAGAATTGTATAGTACTGAGAGTGTTGATTTATCAAGAGAATGACGAGATTTTGCAATTATTCCAATGTTTTTGGAAATTTTTGTAGTGATTAATTGTATATGTGGGATCCAGGACAAATTTTCCTGGATAGTAATTCCCAGAAATATGGTTTGGCTAACCCTTTCTATTAGATGTCCATTGATTTTTACCTCATCCTGTGGGTCGATGTTTTTTTTCCTGCTGGGATGAAAGAGTATAAACTTGGTTTTATCTGGATGCAATGTAAGTTTATTTGCCCTAAGCCAAGAAGCAACTTTAACAAGTTCATGGTTGAGTGTGTTAATGAGGGACGTTATGTTATTGTCACTACAAAATATATTTGTGTCATCTGCGAATAGTATAAAGGATAGGCAGTTGGATGTATTAAATATATCATTTATAAACACAAGAAAAAGTAATGGTCCAAGAACCGAACCTTGGGGAACTCCGCATTTAATAATTTTAGGTGAAGATTGAACATTGTTAATTTCAACATATTGAGATCTTTGACTAAGGTAACTTTTAATCCATGAAAGAGCATTACCACGAAAACCATAAAAAGACATTTTGTCAATTAGGATGTCATGGTTGACAGTATCAAAAGCCTTTTTAAGATCTAGAAACACGCCAACAGTTAGCTTATTATTTTCAAAACCATGATATATTCCGTTTACCAGTTCGAGTATAGCCATGAACGTAGAATGATTTTTTTCTAGAGCCATATTGGTGGTGGTTTATAATTTGAAACTTATATAGGAAATCCATGAATCTCTTATACATCACCTTTTCAAGTATTTTTGAGAAACAAGGAAGAATAGAAATCGGTCTAAAGTTGGAAAAATTATGACAATCATTGCTTTTGTAAATAGGCAAAACCTTAGCAATTTTTAGCTGGTTGGGTACACTACCATTGGCCATTGAAGAGTTGAATATGTAACACAATGGTACTGCAAGTATGTGAATACTCGTTTTAATGATAGGCGTTCTAATACCGTCTACCCCTTCACTGTAACTATTTTTCAACGAATTAGTGATAGTTATAATTTCAGAAGGGGAAGTTGGGGTGAGGAGATAATACGGATATAGGTCTATAGTTATTGGGGTCCATTTTGCAATCTTCCTTATGAATAGGAGTAACCCTAGCTCTTTTCCAGTCATGTGGGACAGTGCCAGTATGGATTACCAAATTTATAATGTAAGTCAACGAGCTTATCGTCGTTGGCGCACTTGCTTTCAACAAACAAACTGGAATGTTATCTAGACCATTGGCTTTACGTGTTGACAGTTTCTCAACTAACTTTGAAACTGCTAACTCACTGACTATTAGAAGTTCAAATTCATTTTCAGGTTTGTTAATATGGTCATAGCTTGCATTTAAATTTAAATTAACTGGGATTTTTGCCGCAAGTTTGGGTCCAATGCCAGTAAAGTGCCTATTGAAGGCATTGCTTACCCCGAGCGGATCATTGATTACAGCATCATCAACGATGACTTTTTCCGTATGGGTAAGGTTTTTATTCTTGGATAGTATAGTATTTATACCATTCCAAGTTTTTTGCAATCACCCAGATTATCATTAAAAAACGAGTTGTAATATTGTATCTTATTTTCCCTAATTTTATAGTTAACTTGGTTTTTAAGATTTTTAAAGTTAAACCAAGCTGATTCCTCGTTAGTTAATACAGCAATTCGTTTCAAGCGATCCCTCTTCCACATCAAATGTTTGATCTCAGTAGTTAACCAGGGTGCACAAGTTTTCCTAACTCGTCGTTTTTTGATTGGAGCATGTTAGTCTGCAATATTGAGAAATGTGGATTTCCAAAGATCCCATGCCTTGACAGGATCAGTTACTAATGATATTGCCTGCCAAGCAGCTAGGTCTATATCACGCTTAAAGTTTTCGATATTGAAATGCTTATAGTAGCGATTTTCTAGTATTTTGGGTTTTGATCTGCATCGGTCGCAATGTTTTCTTGAAGCATATATTAGACTATGATCACTTATTCCAATACGTTTAACTCCTGATATGGAAAATTTACTTGGTTCATTTGTGAGGAGAAGATCAATTAGTGTGGACGTCTGGACGACCTACTAGTGATACGCGTTGGTTCCTGGATAAGTTGACTATACTGGTACAATTCACATAAATCAAGTAAATGTTTTGTATTATTATCGACATTGTTGGGCTGCAACATTGCAATTTAGGTAATATAATTATATAATTATACGTAATATAAGATTCAATTTAAGGTAAAATTCAACCACAAACGCTTCGCAAAACGTTTTAAAGTGTTCTTTATAAAACTAAACTGTCTTTATTCTTTAATTAAATGGCTTTATCGATAAACTTTGGGTTGGCAATAAAATGATTTCAAATTCTCGCATGCAAATAACTTTGCTTTCTTTCAGTTTATTTAAAAAAATTTAATATAATAAAAAAGGGAATCAATATTAAAGATACACTGAAATGGGGCCCGATATGCTGTCTTGTTTTAATAGTTGTTTCATATACGCAAAGGCCGTCGGGTTTTAAAGCAATTATAAAATCAATATTTAAAACAAACTTACCTTCGTTAACGTTGGCTGCCTTCTTTTAGGCGATTCTTTCGTCATTTCTTTCCTGAAATTTACAAAATCTTGCAAAAATGCGAGCAAAAATTAAATATATTTGCAAGAAATCCCGGCAGCTTTACTTTTGGGTTAGGGTTAGGGGTTAGGGGTTAAGGGGGTGGGGGTTAGAGGTTAGGGTTAGGGTGGGGGTTAGGGTTAACAACCCAATAACTTATTGCTAATAACGGTTAACAATTACAATACTATATTGTTGATAACGCAAGGAGCGGCTGGATGAACTTTAGACTTCGCTAATGCTTTCGTTTCCCCGGGTGTAAATAGCCGGGGGGGGGAATTAGTACCCTCGCAAGTAGATGATAGCCCCCATATAGCGGAATACTAATGAGCTTGTGATTTCCCGCTATATGACGTCAGCATTTTTCCCGCCATAGGACGTCAGCGTTTTTAGGGATAAGAGTGACGTCATTTTTGGAACATTGTCGCGTAACATTTGTCGCGTGATCTTTTGGAATTTTGAGATGGCGTCAGCAAGTATTGTCGCGTAACATTTGTCGCGTGATCTTTTGGAATTTTCAGATAGCGTCAGCAAGACGTATAAAAACGGTACGGGAGTTTTATATTTATTTTAAAATGGAAAGTTCATGTGATGATATGTTTGCAGCAATGAGTATTTCTCAGGAGGTGCCAAACGATTTGGTTGTGGATGAAGTATCTTATGAAGTGAAGAATGTTTGTGATTTGATGAATGCTGTGTTTTTCGAAGCGGTTGTTTGTGAAATTCGGAGATTATTGAAGGAGAAATGTCCAGGCTGCGAAGTCGATCATCCGAGTCAGAGGAGACGCCGTAGGTTCGATTCCTACCAGAGGACCTTGTGCAGCATTTTTCGCAGTCGTTCCTGGTTAGGTCTTAAAATGTATATATTCTCACTTGGATTACAAACCCTAACATCCTAATATTATGTTGTCAGACGGGGAGGGATGGTTACTGCATGGTTTGGAGGCAGTGGAGCGTGTGATTGAACGTGGAATTGTGAAGAAACAGTTTCTTGAAGCTATTCGAGTGATGAAATTGGAATATTACGGGCGTGCGAAAGAACATTATGCGAACTTGATAAAAGATCGTGAAGTAACACTTGATTTTTTGGGGGATTTGAGAGGAAGTTTTTCTGATTATGAACCCATTTTGAGCTACCTAATGTATTGGAGCGAAGAACATTGTGCATAAGACACGTTTAGTAAAAAACATTTATTTATTTATAAAATTGTAAAGATTTTTTAACAGAGATGTTTTGTAAAACTACTAATGTTTTTCTGAGAACAAAGATTTTACAATTTATTGAGTTGTTCTCGTACTTTATTTTCTAAATGTTTCTGATACGCTTTTTTATGATCCGTTTCGAGGGATTTGAATGTTTCCTTTGTCCCTTTGACATAATAGGTGTATCTTGGCGGTGAGCTGAAATGACATTGAGCATAGGATTCCAGGGGGGGGTCAGTTTGTGGATTCCATAAGTCATGTAGAATACGTAGTAATGGTTGATTGTCTTGATATACTTGTAGTAAAGTGTAGACAAAGTTTTGATCGGGTTCTTCTTGCAAATACATCAAATGCTGTGTGAAATCTTTCTGATTTTCTACGTTTAGAATTTTGATAGCGGCCATGAATTCGTTTCATGTGGAGGACGTGTGTTAACTTGTTCTATGGCGTTGAACCCATGCATTCCCCAGGTTTCGTGTTCATCCATCATTAGACAATCCTGTTCGTATACTTTACAGCCACAGCAACGTTCATTGCGTATTTTTTGAACCTCGCATGCTACGTTCTTAGCGTAAATTACTTCCAGTAAGTGAAATATTGAACCAGCCATCATCAGAGACAGTGTACAACTGTTTGCCGCGCTTTTTGACAAGTTTAAGATATATACTTTTTAGACATTTGTCGCGTAACGCATTTGTTCCATGTCACATAGCGTTTGTTCCACGACATTGTCGCGTAGCGTTTGTTCCATGACCTTTGTCGTGTAACACGTATGATCTGACCTTTAGTAGGTGCGACCTTAACCTTGATCTTGGAAGCCAGCGCGGGTTTTGTGCACTTTTGGCGTCACGACGACGTACAAATATGTGTGTGACGAGACGTTTTGGGGCAGAAGCGAAGAGCTGAGGCGACGAACAAGAAAGCAAGAGCGAAAGAAAGCAAGAGCGAGAAAAACAGATATGGATAGACGTGAAAGACATAATGAGAGGCATACGCAGTATCGGGCGAGGCGCAGGGAGCAGGAGGAAGAGAGAAGTAGGGAGCTCGCGCATTTGCGCGAGTTCTATGGGGCCATGATGAACGTCAATTTTGAAGCTGTGGCCATATTTGAAATGCTAACGAGGTACCGCGACCATCCTGAGGCGTTTCTAGAGGAAACGATTGCTCTGGAGGAGATTTTGCGGAGGCAGAATCGGCAGTGAAGAAAGGAACTTATTGCCACAGCGATAAGAGTTTTTATTGCTTCCCGGAATAATTTATAGTTGAAATTAATTATGCGAAATAAGTAATTTGCGCGCGCAAGTTAATTTAGGTATAGTCACGTGACTGGAAATTTCGGTATTTATCAGTGGTGAAGCGGGCTATCTGTCCTTTCCTATTCCACGAGGGCTGCAGTTCACATCAAGAAATTGGATGGAAGAGAATTATCTTCTGTATCTGGTAAATATCTCTTACTTATGCATAATAATTAATAATATATTAGATAGATAGATAGATAGATGGTTTATTTGCAAAGCATTGCAGCCAAAAGCTGAATTACGCTAAGAATTACATATAGTTTAAAATTAGAATAACTATTAAAAATTTTAAAAGTTTGGAGCCAAATGGCAATGTGCGTATAAGTTGACTATAATTGTCTACTACTATAACTAGGTGCGCATTTTCAGTGCATTGTGAGTTATAAAACTATTCCTAAATCGGTCTGTTTTAAAAAGCTGATTTTTAAAAAGTCGTTTCTTCCTAAACTTAATTTGGCATTCGTTTACAGGTGGTAAAAGTTTGTTCAATTTGTGACTTGGGTCGCTAATAATTTGCTGGAATAGTTTGTCCGTTAGTTGCTGTCTTCTTGCTTCTAGAGGGACCAACTCAGCAACGGAGAGAGATTCGTCATATGATAAGGCTGGAAATATTATCCGCATCGCGCGTTTCTGTATTCTTTCGATGTCTTTAACAAGGTAATTTGGCAGGCTATCGTGAAATACTGGGCAGCCATACTCTGTAACAGGTCTTATACAAGTACAGTAAAAGGTAATAAGTTCCTTACTGCCCACGTTCGAACGTTTTAGTTGGCTCAGAAAATACAAACGCTTATTCGCTTTCTTCATAATAACAGATATATGGCTATTCCACTTAAGATCGTTAGATATCTGCATGCCAAGGAGTTTTACACTTTCAACGACCTCCAGTTGCTTATTGTTGATGGTAATAGGATCGAAATCGGGAGGAGATTTACTGAAGCTAATACGTAACTCTTCACTACACTTGGACTCGTTTAATGTAAGTTTATCAATAGAAATATGTCGTGTAAGTTCATCAACTTTCTCCTGTATGTTGGATTCGTTGTTTCTTTCAACAATTTCAGACATCGTTGTGTCATCGACGTATTTCCAGAGTTCCGAATCTTGGATTTTCAAATCATTTATCATGATAACGAATAACCACGGCCCGAGTTTGGTACCCTGGGGAACCCCAGATGGAATAGTTCCCCATTCAGAATAGCAGTCGTTACCAAGTTTGACACGTTGTTTGCGACAAGTAAGAAAGTCAATAACCCACAAAACAATGCTTTCAGGAATATCATACGATTTTAGTTTGTCTACAAGTATATGGTGATCGATCAAGTCGAAAGCTTTCTTAAAGTCAACTAATACTGTCCTGACAGTTGCGCCACTACCGTCAGTTGCTTTATTCCACGAATGCAGCATGCTCATCAGGGCCTGGGTGGTGTTACTACCAGGTATCGTCCCAAATTGATTTGGATCCACCTTCTTCAGAACTGCAGGCTTTACAAATTCTTCTACGACAAAGTCTTCCGCAACTTTCGAGAGGATAGATGTCAAAGATATAGGACGAAGATGGCTATTTACGTCAAGAATTTGCTTTTGTTTTGGGATTGGTGAAATATTGGCCAATTATATTGGATACCAAAGACATTTTTTCCATTTTGCTTGCGACATATGAATATGTAGGGGACTTTACTTACAAACCAGACTGCGGGGTTGGCTATTTCGGGTTCGCAAAAGTTAGAAACTCGAAGTGCGTGTGCGCAAAACAGTTCCCAAGTGTGCATCAAGATGCAGTCAAGGGCACAAATGTAGCAAGATACATGTTAAAAACAATGAAAATTAGAGATTACAGGGCAGATTAAATTGCGAAAATTGTTATAAAGTGCTAAATTTCTGCCTAAAAAATATCGAGTGCGACGTTGACTAACTCTGCAGTCTGGTTTACATATTCATGACTTTTAGTCGCAGTCTACAGGGGTAACTACAGTACACTCTAAATTGAATAAATGTGAACTTTAGGAATTTATTAGCCAGCCCCTAGTCTTCCGATTTATAAAATGGGAGCTAAATTTTTGGGAGATATCTACCCTCAGTGTGCAATAGATAGTTTTGCTCACACAGCTAGCTACTCGTGGTCGTGATTCTACAAGCGTAGCAGATCAATACTGGGCTCCTTGCGATTTTGGGGCGGCGGCGCGACGGCGACGGCCACAACACACTCCTTCAAATAAATGGTAGTAAAAATAATTCGACGCGTATTATTATCAGTCGTATGAATTTAATACAGTCTTCAGAGGCTCAGAGCAGAACACTCCCTTACGGGTAACCTTAACTATTTATACAGAATACCTATATAAAGTGATAATTATTAACAACATGATTTAACAGAGAGACTAGACAAGGGACGACATGAATGACATTTAACATGGGTTTTATGACTGGGTAGAGTTCGGCTGAACCTGGTTTGAAATTGCACTTGTTGCGGCTTGAAATGCAGCCGTTGCATCAAGACGTAAAATCTCTGATTTGGCGTAGTAATTACAGAGCGAAGACAATGTCTAAATTATTCATATATTGTGATTATTCCATTCTCTCAATGATTTATTGTATTGGAGGCCGTTGCTGTCGCGTTGCCGTCCTGGGTCGTAGGGTCTCTAATGCGAAAGCTCAGCGTCTTTGACTTGTGCAAGCTCTGCGTTTAGTATAAACGTACTATATGTAGCATATACCTTGCGCTGTTGCATGACTAAAATTTTCCGTGGCATTTCAAAGCGAGATAATCCCACTTGATAATGACATTAACAGGATATTAAATCCCTACAGCGTCAATTATCGATTAATTATAGCCTACTGCTGACACATTCTGTCCAGACCTCGCGATTGCATATATATTACCACAGTTTGTGGACTTAGTCTATCTTAGGTTCTTAGTCTATAAACTGTGATTTTACAGATGTTAATTTCCTTTACTATACATTACGAGGCAGATTATAATCTGGGGGCATGCATGTCTGTGCTCTTCACTATATTTGTATGATATAGTGGGTATTTGTGCTAATTTTATGTTAGGGGTCAGAATTGTATACGTATATGTTACCATCATTATGTTTGTACAGTACATATGTTATCATGAATATGCTAACAATAGCATTTGCGGTGTTGTTGCTGCTAACTATAGCATATTGTGCTATTGCTATTCGGGTTTATTAGCTTATTAGCAATATTCCCGTTGTTACCGTTTCATGTTATTGAAGTCATTTCATGTTTTATGGGCTATAGAGCAACTTGGCTGTTTTCAGATGCCCACGTTGGGATTTCAACTTTGCCCTTGGGTTTTTTGCTACACAGAACTTTTTCATGAATTGGTGGCATTTATATATACGATTGTTATAACTTTGTATTGTTTTGTGTATATACGTGTCAAAGTTGTGTTTTAAATATGTGTACGTGTACGTGTGCGTATATATATTCTGCCCTTGTTCTTGTGTCAAATACCCACAGTTGAAATCAATATATTATGGGATGGTGCGGCTGCATGGTTGTTTTCAGATTGCCCGAATATTTATAATTTGCAGCATTGTATAGATGGAATATTCAATTTGCGGCTACCTCCGATGTATGCCATTGTGATTATTCTCCGCTGCTTCGTGTTTTGTATGTTTCTCTGTAAATTCCATGTTT